TTTTTTAAGAGAATCAAAACAGAACCATCCTAGGTCTGGAGGACTGTGCTCCTGCCTGGCTCTGAGCCCCTCCGTGCCCATCCTGACCCACACTCCACATTCTATAGCCATCACCATTGTGTAGCGGTTGCTACACAAAGGACCCTGATTTGCACATCCCTTTCCTTTGGGTTATAAACAGATCAAACACAAGATACAGGTTAAATTCTGTTTTCATATACACGTGTGTCAGAATCCATTCTTTGACATTTATATAAAATTCAAAGTTAAGGCAACACCTTGTATATTTATTTGCTACATCGGCGAACCCTACCCTCAGGTCTATCTCTCTGAGGACCTGCTGCTTGCTAAGGGGAGACCACTGCAAGGGGAAGGGTATCTGTGGGGGCAGAAGCTGCAGGGTCTCCAGCACCACTGGTCCAGACTGAGGCTGATGAGAGGAACGGGCTACAGGCTACTACATGCACTGTGTTGCAGGAGCCGTGAGAGGCAAGTCTGCAATGGGAAGTGACGTCACTAAACATCATTTTAAATATTGGGTATGGAGCACAAGGCATCCCATGCTCCTTTAAAACACCGTGAGTGCAAACAATCTCCTGAGGCCTTCGCTGTGGAATGAGGACATTCCAACCATTACTGGTGGCTCCGTTTCCAGTCTGCTTATTACACTCACCCTTCAACAAAGCCAGACCAGGCAAAAAAAAGCCTTAACCCCAGGGTGGGGAGAGGACTGTGAGCAAGCTGCAGGTATGTGAGAGCAATTTGGGAGAGGAGTAGCTCGCCAATTAAACTAGACTGCCTGGGCAGCAGGGCTCAGAGACCTGCCTGTCTCCTGCAACCACTGAGGTCAGGATGTGTGGCTCTACTGACTTTTAAATGGATGATGAAGATCTGAATTCAGAGCCTCATGCTTGCCATGGCAAGCTGTTCAAATAGCCTTCCCTAACTCCCACATTCTAGAAAGACACTTATTATCGTTATTCCTTTAAATTATATGTATAGGCTTGTGTCTCTGTGGGGGCTTATGCTTATGAGTACAGGGACCCATGGAGTTCAGAGGAGGGCATTGGCTCCCCTGGAACTGGAGTTACAGGCAGTTGTGAGCCATCCTACATGAGTGTTGGGAATTGCACCCAGGGCCTCTAAAAACCATTACAAATTCTTAACTGCTGTATTATCTCTCCAGCCCTAAATCCCAATCCCACGTCTTTCAGGGACTGAATGAATGGTGCTGTATACAAAGTTAAACACCCCCGAACTAACACTGCACAACTCCAGCCTGCCCGTTCCCCACTCCTCGGCCAGCACGGTTAGATCATGTAGTTCTTCAGGTGAGAGTCCATCACAGACAGCAGGGAACGGTATCCTTCCTCATGACTTCCAGACAACAATAACTTGCTTAATATGTGTTTCAAGGAGACCGGGGTGGGGGTGGGGGTGGGCAGCAGGGTATAAGGGGGTGAATATGATAAAAGTGCATTAGACACACGTGACGCTATCTGAAAAAATCAAGACTTTCTGATCAATGTGCACTAATAAAGTATTTTAAAATTGTGCTTCAAAAAAATGCCAGTGAGGAGAGGTGGAGTGAGAATGGAGGAGAAGGAAAAAGAAAACCCACCCTGCTCAGTATATATACCATCCAAACCACAAGACCAAAAGATCCTTCAAATTGCTGGTTATATATAAGACTCTCTTCACTTGAAGTTAGGGGCTAACTATAGACCCAGAGAGTCCTCAGAAGCCCTCCATCGCCCTTTCTCACCAAGGTGCCCACCTCTAGACTGTCCCCCTCTTAGCAAGAGGCCTGATCACCAAGGTCAGTGGAAGAGACAGGCTGTTGCATCCCAGAGACACTAACCTGAACCGGATAAAATATCGCCTGCAGGGTGGGCAGAGTCTCAGTGAAGAAGTGGTCCCAGACTTCAGCCAGAACCTCAATCCGACTGTCACCTACACATGGGAGAGAAGATGGGAGAAAGAAGAGAAAATGTCATCACTGCCAGGAGGGGCCAAAGAACAGCTCCTCCTCAAATGTGAAGCTGCATTCACTGGGGAACTTGTAGCCCGGAGCTGCTGACACCCAGAGATCACAGCCACAGTGCTCCAGGGTCTTTGTCCCTGCTAAGGCCATCAGGAGAGTTCCTCGTAGGATACACACAGCAATTGAAATCCAACATTGCTGGTGAGATCCTGAATGTAAGTTGAGGAACAGCCTTTGCAGGACCAGGGAGAGGGTGTTTAAGCCACAAAGTATGACAGCGGTCGGTGTACCATGAAGTGGTACCCAGGGTTCACATGGTGGAAGCTCAGACACCAGGGTGGCAGGTGGGGAGTGTGGCTGCATGCTTGTAATCCCAGTACTTGGGAGGTAGAAGCAAAAGGGTCATGAGTTTAAGGCCAGCCTGGGCTATGTACAGTGAGTTTGAGGCTAGCCTGTGCTCTATAGTAAGGATGGCAAAAGAGAATATTTAAGAGGTGTGACCCAGCCAGAGGTCATTGGGAGCCCTGACCTTGGAACAGACTAGTGTCAGGCTGCAGAGCGAGGCTCTTTTGGTGGGGGCTTTGAAAATGAGCTGTGTGAGAGGCCAGCTCCCACCTTTTCAAGGGTTCTTATGAGAAGGAGAGAGGGATAAGAAAATATTAGATAGAAAGAGAAGAGGAGAAAGACAGAAACACAGGATAGCTTTGGGAGGACCTGGGTCAATGCCCACTGGTCTTTTCTGTTTACTCAAAAGGGCTTTTTATAACAATGCCCCCTTGCTAGATCAAAGCACACCATACAGCCAAGTGTAGACCCTTCCAAACACCTGGTAAACACACCCTTGATCAAATTATCTCCTTATGCAGCCCTGCTGGGTAAAGCAAGCTCAGATTGGTTTGCTCTGATGGGCCTCCACAGAACTGGTCTCTGGCTTCTGCTCTGGCTTCCTGGCTCCCCATGTGATTCCTTCCACACTTACCTACCACCACAATGCCACCCATCATGAGGCTCCTACCAGAAGACACACCAAAGTGTTTGAGCATCCAAATCAGTGAGCCAAGTCAACTTCTTATTTAGAAAATGACCTTGGATTTTTTATTTATTTATTTATTTATTTATTATGAACACAGAAGAGGGTGCCAGATCTCATTTCAGATGGTTGTGAGCCACCATGTGGTTGCTGGGAATTGAACTCAGGACCTCTGGAAGAGCAGTCAGTGATCTTAACCTCTGAGCCATCTCTCTAGCCTGGATTTTTTTTTTTTTTAAATAGCAAAATTTAAGTGGGAAGCCTCAACTGGAAACACACTAATGTGCTTTTCTATGCCCAAACTCAGAAAGGGGAGGTGAAGGTTTACAATCATGTGACAATCGATATCCATGAGTGTTTCGGCATCTTCAGACACTGTGCTAAACTACTGATCAGTACGATGTGAGTAGGTCCTGTTACCCCATCTTACAGGCTCAGAAACCACAAGGAGCTAGGCTAACAACACACAGCTCAAAGGCAAAGCTGGGGTCCCTGACCTCATGGTCTTTATCTGATTGTTTTGAAGGTTGTTTGCACAGTTATACACTCATCTGTTTGCAGTTATACACTGCTCCATTTGCACACTTGTTATCCACTGCTGTTTGCACAGTTATGCACTGCTGTTTGCAGTTATACATTGCTCCACTTGCACACTTGTTATACACTCCTTGGTTTGCAGTTATATACTGCTCTGTTTGCACAGTTCTACACCTGCACAGTTATACACTGTTGTTTGCACAGTTGTATACTAATCTGTTTGCACAAGTTATCCACTGCTGTTTGCACAGTTATGCACTGCTGTTTGCAGTTATACATTGCTCCATTTGCACACTTGTTATACACTCCTTGGTTTGCAGTTATATACTGCTCTGTTTACACAGTTCTACACCTGCACAGTTATACACTGCTGTTTGCACAGTTGTATACTAATCTGTTTGCACAAGTTATCCACTGCTGTTTGCAGTTATACATTGCTGTGTGCACAGTTGTACACTGATCTGTTTGCAGTTATACACTGCTGTTTTCACCATTGTACACTGATATGTTTGCACAATTATACACTGTTGTTTGCACAATTATACGTTGCTGTTTGCACAGCTGTACACTGCTCTGTTTGTACAGTTATATACCTGTACAATTACATACTGCTGTATGCATAATTGTACACTGATCTATTTGCACAGTTGTACACTTACTGTTTGCAGTTATATACTGCTCTTTTTGCACAGTTATACACTGCTATCTGTATAGCTGTACACTGATCTGTGTGCACAGTTATACACTGCTGTTTGCACAGTTGTATACACTGCTCCGTTGGCTCGGTTACATACCTTGGCCTGATTCTGGGTTTGAGCTGTCAGGTGAGAAGCAGTAAGATGATCTACAGTATCACCTTCACCCACGGTTGCACCATAGCTGGGAGGCACCTCCTGACGATGCCTGCTCACCCCTGGCACCAGGAAGCCAAATGCCACCCACAGGCTGAAGTACACAGGTCACCTCATGCCACTGAAGGGATGTGAGAGGAGAGGGCCTGGTTGAAGTAGCTGCTGCTTAATGACCTAGATATCGGAGCTCATGGGCTACTGTCTGCTCATCCTGAGCAGAGAAACTGGGTCAGCCAAGACAAGACACCCAGAGATGCGTTTGGCAAAACACCACTAGTTCCAAGGAACGAACCTTGGTAGATTCATTTAGTGTCTCCCGTCTATTAATTTAATGGCCAATAAAGGCAGTAGCTGGGGAGAAAGCACAGAAGAAGGGCACAGCTAGTCGCCAGCAGCTGCTGGGAGGTCAGGCTGGACGCAGACCCGTGCCATGCTCTGTCTTCCCTGGCAAAGCAAATTCATCAAACGTTGCTGGAATTGACCCAGGCTAGAACTTGAGAAGCTGAGACAGGTTTGTCCTGGGCCAGGTTTGTCCTTCTTACGTTCTAGGTGCAGAGCACCAAGCCAGACACATCAATAAACCACCAGGTAAAGGCCAGAAATAGCAAGCAATGGCAAGTGCCAAGTGTGTAGGTTTCTGCACATGCCAGGTCTCTCAGGGGCAGGAGGTTCCTATCTGACCCAAATAGCTGACGTTCCAGTCAGTAAGCCTTTCTAGTGAGTAGGGACATGTCCTGTTTTCTCTCAGGAGAAGGACACTTCTACAATGTAGACTACACAACCACGAGGCTCTGTCTCCTTCTCTCATGTCTTCATCCTCAGCTAGATTTCCCTCAGTCTTTGAACTGTGGCTCTGCAGGCTTGATCTCAGCCCCTCATATTCATCAGGCTTCCTCATACCACAGAGCCTTTGCCTATGGTAATTCCTCTGTCCAGACTTCTCTTTCCCTCCTTCTTTGTCCAACTTGCCTGTTAATTCTCCTTGTTTCGGTTCAGATTTTATTCCTCCAGTGAATCAAATCCCCTCTTGTGTATGTTAGTAGTACTAGTCTTGGTTACACTCATACCCAACCACTCACATGCAACTGACATACTAACACATGGTGACTTGATTCATATCTGTTCCCATTTCCAGGTTAGCAGCCTCAGCATCTAGCAAAGGACCTGGCATCCAGAAAGTGACTGATCGGCCACACAGAACCACCTTGCAGATGTACGCAATGCTCATACACTACAGGGATGAGGCAGGGGAATCAAAGGGTCATCTGGTTTCCCAAATCCAAACTGAACCCCGAAGAGGAATGAAGGCTATTTTGGTGGCTTTGTTCATGACCCTTACCTGAAGCCTTTTACAATGAAGGGAAGTGGGGAGAACCCTGTGATGCAGGGCTGCGCCTACTTCCATGCTAAGATGGAGGCCTCGTGGATGCTTAAAGGAGTCCTTCCACCCTGCAGCTGAGAGGTACGTGCTGGGAGGCTGGATCTGACTGATGGCTATAAAGGTCAGGAAGGAAAGAAGGTTCCAAAAAGTGTTCTGTCAGAGCAGCAGGCACAGACCAACAAAGGAAGAAAGAGGTAAAGGAAGCAGACAGCTTCATGTCCAGAAATAGTCTACTAAGTCAGAGTCAGCTCCCTACAAAGGTGAAGGTGTGAATGGAAAGTTCTAGATGTCTGTCATCGAATCTGCCGTCTGATATACCCCAGGAATCAGATCAGCAGCAGCACACAGGTTGCTATCAAAAACATCCTGAAAAGCAAGGCCAGCACAGCTGTAGGAAAGACTACCAACAACATGGAGTCTCCTGTCCAGCAGCTGCCGTCAAGTATGGCTGAACACAATAACAAACCCAAGTACAAGTAGGAAGTGCCAGGGCACCTTCACCTAGGAATGGCACAGGGCATCCTGGTCATTCTTAAATTTTATTTTTTGTGACACGAGAACCCTTTCAACCAAACAAAACTATTCTTGAAGTTCTAATACATGAAATCAATGAATCATTCTGTCTGAAGATGAGGATGTCTCTTATACGTCCTTCTGTGCCTGTTCTGCGTACAGAAAGGGCTCCAACACCACAACCCTAAGACTAGGAAGTCTCGTGGGAATGCCTGCAATGCATCACCAGGTCCGTGCTTTGGGTTTACAAGCACAAAATCTTGGATGATCTTTGGTCATCCCATCTAAGCTCTATCTCTGAGTTTCCACTCTTGAGTCCATCTCTGATGATAGTCACTTATATCCATACTTCCACCTTCCTAATTTAAGGACAT